TATTTTTATTGTCTCAGAAGTACTGTCATTTTAATGTTTAAAAAAGGATCAGGGAAAATCACTTCAGTGGGGAGAGTTCAGAAGTCTTAGTTCTATTCATTTTTTGAGATTTCCTCTGTACCGGTATCCCCTTATCAGCACCTACATTAAAAAGAGTCTCAAATATGTCTGTAGCCCAGACCTCTATTGCGACTTTTACACCCACTTATATCACTGCCTGCTTGCACATATCACAGGACCTCAAACTACCTTTCCCTATCTCGGGAAATGGTGATCTCATTCTCCTAACTGCTCCATCAAAAATTGTTACAGTTCTCCTTGATTGCTTCCTTTCTCTTACCCCCTATATCGGATCCATCAGCATGTCCTGTTCACTTTACCTTAAAAAATATAGTCAGAATCAGATTATTTCTCATCATCTCCACTGCTACTGCCTTACTGCAAGCTGCCTTCATCTCATGCCTGTATTATTTTGGCATACTCTAAGTGGTCTTCTTGCCTCCATACTTGGTCCCCTACAGTTTATTTTCAACACAGCAGCCGGCATGTTCCTGTGAAAATATGAGTCAGATTGTGACACATCTGTGCTCAAAATGCTCCGAGGGCTTCCCCTCCAATTAAAGAGCAAATCAAAAGACCTTCTGATGGCCTCTGAGGCCATCTTCAAGTTCATCTTTAACCCTGCCATCTTTTTGATCACAGCTTCTACTTTTTTCCCCGTGTTTACTTTACTCTGAGCGGCAATGGTCTCCCTGCTCTTCCTCAAACATGCCGGGTATGCTCTCACCTGGGGGGTCTTTGCACTTGTCTAAAATGCTCTTTCTTCAGATTGTCCTCAGGCCTGCCCCTTTGTTTTTTTCAGGTATTTTCTGGATTGCCACCTTCTTGATGAGACCTTTCACTCACTGTCCTTGAACATAGTGACCCTCCCCTATTGACAGCTCCCAATAAAGAGTCCCAAGTCCTCAGTATACGCTTATTGTACGTTTTCAAAGGTTGGCTTAGGAGAGTTTAAGCAGATTGATGGGAATGGATAGGAATGACAGGGAGGAAGGAAGGAATTCCAGCTGCGTGAATGGCCAAATAAGAGCTAAGATATGATACCCCAAACTTAGAAATAATTCACATTCTCATGATGAGCAGATTCATATCTCATGATGAGCAAATTTGCATGTGAGCAGATGATTTAACCAAAGGAGACGATATATAGGACCCAGGAGAGAACCCAATTTTGAGGAACGGTGAAGTGAGCTAAGACGAGAAATGGGGAAGGAGTGATCAGAGAGATTAGAACAGATCAGAATAATGAAAACCAAAGTTTAGGAAGAAGTGAAAATAATCATAATAATGTCTAACGTCATTGAGGATATGCTTATTTCCTTTATTATTTTATTTAAATTTCATTAGTTTATGTTATTCTGTTTTGACATATGAGCAACTTGAGACTTGGGTCTTAAAGTTAGTAAGGGATAGGGCTGGGAGTCAACTCCAGGTATAACTCTGCATCTTTGTCACTGTCCACAACCTGAAATGCCACCAAAAGGCAGGGAAAGCATTTTCAAGCAGTTGCACAAATACTCTTAACTTGGTGGGAGAGTCTTGTAGAAAATCTTGCTATAAATAGAAAAAAATAACTTCTAGGGAGTAGAAGTAGGTAGTTTAATTGACCACTTCTAAAGAAGTAGAAATGGACACATTCCCCTGAGGACAACATGCTAAAATATCTTTAAAATATGATTGCTCTTTAAATGTCATAGTGTTTACAGAAGAATGCTTTAATTATTTGTTGGGTACCATATGAATTTCACAAACATTTATTAAGCTCATACTGTGTTTCAGGCATTATAATGTGAATTAGAATTGTAGAAATTCAATTCTGCCCTCTAGGATCTCTTGGAGAGATAAAGACACGTTACTGGTGCATTTTATATACATACATACAATGTAGATAGGGAGGTAGGTAGGTAAATAGATAGATAGGCAGATAGTGTAGTGGTGTACAAAAAAAGTAGTTATTTTTCCCCAAGAAGAAGGAGGTCCAAGAATGACTGCAGAGAGGAGATCTTTACTCGAATATTAAAATGCCAGTAGGTGTTTGTCAGACAGGTAAGATTATGGCAAGGTTTTCCAGACAGTAGGAAGAGTAAGAGTTTGGCATAACAGTATACGTAGGTTGGAGAATTAAGGGAACTAAGAGGTTCAATATGGATGGACCACTGGATAGAGGTGTAAAGTGGTATAAAAGACAAAGCTGAAGTTTGTAGCAGGGTCTTGAATGTCACACCAAGACCTCTATCCCAAGGGGAATGGGAGGCTAGTCTGGGGTTTAAGGTCCTATTGGCGTATAAACCCAAAGAGATTTGGGGAGGATGGATTTGAGAGGAACCAAGACTAAGTAAAGGCAGGGGCCAGATTTGGAGACTCTAATCATCTAGACTACTGCTACTCAAAGTATGGTGCCCACTGGCCAATAGCTTCTTACCATCCAAGTATAAGAAGCGTATGCTAGATGTAAGCTAACTACTTCAACTAAGTACACTGTTAAGTTTGCTTGACTTCATTTTCATGACAAGACTTTCTCCAAAAAAGAAGCTGTGCTTTGATGTACATCCTGGACAGCCACTTACCTTGTAATGAACTCACTTTGAGTGGTTCTTCTCTATACTATTGGTCTTCAAATTCTTTCAATCTCACATATCAATAAGTGAAAAATATTTGAGTGAGTATCACTAACATATGAATAGTCATGAACCCTATACATGGATTCCTATATTATATTATATAGACTATAACACACTAAACATACATTTTAAAATAATGCAATGAGGATAAGGAATGTATTTTTTTAAAGTTTCATTAAAGCAAAAGCAATGTTATCAAATATGCTTAATTAGTTTTGAAAATTATTTTTAACCCTTTTGGCTCTGGCTGTTCAAAATCTGCTTCTGGTTTAGTTTATTTTGATTTTGGTTTAAATGGCTGTCCTAATTGAAAATATTTCCAAAGATGGGTATTTTGCCAAGAATAGAGTAGGCTTGACTGAGTTTATTAAACTAAGATTCTGATTTTTCAGTCTAACTCAGTAATTAAATACATGTTTTTAATGAAATTTTATATTTTCTGATGTCAATCAGTTGTTTTTGCAAAGTGATCTGAAGGTGTTTCATTTGCACATTTTATACACATGGATTTTAAACCTTTTGCAACTCTGTATTATTTTCCTACAGCCACGGTAACAAAATGCCACCAATTGGCTGATTTAAACAACAGAAATGTATTTTCTTACAGTTTTGGAGGCTTCAAGTCCAAAATCAAAGTGTCAGCAAGTTTGGTTTCTCGTGAGGCCTCTCTCCCTCGCTTGCAGGTGGCCGCCTTCTTGCTGTGTCTTCACGTGGCCTTTCCTCTGTAAGCAGCCATTCCTGGTGTCTGTCTGTACATCCTAATCTCCTTGTCTTATGAGGCCACCTGTCAGATTGGATTAGGGCTCACCTAAACTCAATTTAATTTAATTACCTCTTTACGGACCCTACCTTTAAATATAGTCACATACTAAAGTGCTAGAGGGTAAGGGTTCAGCATTTGAATTTAGGAAGATGGATATAATAATCATAACAAACTTAATTTGAAAGTTTTTAAAACAGGTGAAAATTCTATTTCTGATTTGAACCAAACAGAATTTTTATGGCATTCATCATTTTTATCAGGAAATCCACATAATATGTGAATGTTTCCAAATACCTGTTTCTAAAGCCTTTCTCTAAAGCATACATTTCTTTCAAAAAGCAATGACTTTTCTTATTACTTGGTGAAACAGTACCTTAATCCTGAAGAAGCAGATATAAAAGTGTTATTGAAAAATATCTTCCAGGTTAAAAATTACTGACAAGGACTTTATCACACAGAAAAGATTAATACTTTTTATTTCACCCACTTGTCTCCTTATAAAAAGAAAAATGTATAATGCTTTTAAGTACTTTGCCATGAGTTAATAGTGAACCCCACGTGGCACAGCAGATTTTCAAGATCACTCTGAGCCTATGTGTTAAGAGATAGGACCATAAATACACTTAACCAGGTGGATTCAATCTGAAAGTGAAATAAAATTGTCAAAGGTAAAAGAGTGAAGGTATCCAGTGCTTAGGACTGTGGATCACTCCCTCTTTTCTAGTAGGCATCCACCCCCTACCTGGCCCCTGAGGGACAGTGGCCATCTATAAGTAAAATATTAATACAACTTAATTTGTTCTTATTAAAAATATAAGTATAAATAGAACCTCTAATATTTCCTCTCATCCCTAACAGATTTTCTTGTGCCTTTCTGGGGTGCTGTGTTCCACTTTGGCAAGGGCTAGAGTGGATGCTCAATGATGAGATTCCAAACAGAGGTAAAACCAAGGGAATGAGAAAGGTCGTGATGATACAGACACTCGAGGGAAGCAGAGTCAATAATACCTGATCATTGATTTGAGATGGGGATGTAAATCAAAGGAAATGCAGAAATATGTATGTTTTCATGCTGTTTAAAAATGTCATTTTCCCATCTTTCCCCATGATTGTAAGTTCTTCCAGAAATAAGTTGAACTATCCTTTATATTCTTCCTTCTTTGTGCCAGGCATTGGGCAATGCGCATTCAAGTACATTTTCTCTGCAAAAACTAGTGTGCCTTCCATCTATTTGTGGACCTTGCGTTTCAAAATGTTTCAAACAGCAGCTGCTCCATGAACAGAGCCTCTATGAGCACATACACCAAGGTGGGTGCCTGATTAGGAATCAGGATGGCATATTGGAGCTTGCGGCCTTCTGAGTCTCAAAGGACAAGGACTTTCTTCTAAGACATAGCTTATATAGCCAGGAAAAGGGAACTTGCAGAAGCCTTTACCTGAGACAGCAACATTCTCTACCCCTGAACATAAGCTTCTCCCCTTAATATCTCCATCTGTTCCAAAAAAGTAAAACAAACAAACAAAAAGACTAAAATATTCTTGTATGTTTTACTCACAGCAAGGTTGGTCCACTGTATACTCCTCCAAATGCATCTTTGTCAATAACTGTCAGGTATTTATTCTTGTTTAGGTAACTAGAGACAGACAGAGAGGGGGAGAGAGAGAGAGAGAGAGAGAGAGAGAGAGAGAGAGAGAGAGAGAGAGAGAGAGAGAGAATGAATTAGGTGAGTCTAAGAAATCACACCAAATTAGTACAAATGCCAGAATAAATGTGACCATAGTATTGACTGATTTCAAGAATTTAGAGGATACCTTGTCTTCTTCTGGCTTAAGCACTAGGATATCTAGGTTTCAACCCTAAAAAGTTTATGCACATTAATTACAGCAGAAGTTTTTGAAAATGAGAATGTTTATGATCTAGTTTGCATACCTAAATTTCTTAAAAGTTGCTTTAATTTCCTATTTTCCAGGCCAGTGGCAATTGTATTTTTTAATCTCTGTAATGCCAGTCCTCTTTTATACCAAATTTTGTTCCTTAGTATTAATTAATATTCCCATTTAATTTCGAAGACTAGGCTTAAATCAGGAATGGAATGAAGATGGTGAGGGTGGTGAGTGATGCTTAGAACTGTCAGAGATTCAGATCTTTTCTTTGGGTAAGGTTGTCAGATTTAGCAAATAAAAATACAAGATGCCAGTTAAATTTGAGTTTCAGATAAACAATGAATAATTTTTTAGTAAAAACATTTCCCATGCAATTAAAACATATCTGTATTATAAGTTATCTGTTGTTGATCTAAAATTCAAATTTTATTGGGTGGCCTGTGTTTTATCTGACAACCCTATTGTGTGTGTGAGGAGTGTTTAGGCAGATGAGATTACAGAGTATATCTTCCATGGAAGAGGTTTGATAGACACATCGGTCTTTCCATTATAAAAACACACTGGACATTAGAGGGTAAAATATTTTTGGAGCAATCTAAGTTACAAAGTGATTTTAAAACAAAATTCCCTCCAAATGGATAAAAGCTTCCAAGGATTTTGAAACTGGCATTTTCCCCATAACTTTATTACAAAACAAAATTATCTAAAAAGAAGCGTAGCATGTATATATCCTTGTTACAAATGCTCCCAATTTACACATTTAGAATAACTCACAACATAACCTCATCAACTTAAACATTAGCAAGTGGCCACCTGTTGATGCAAAAAGAATATAGCAGAGACCCTTAGAAGGTCTGCTTAGATATGGCTAATGCTTCCATTATTCTGCCTATGGGGTTTGCTCTTCATGTTGGAACATTTTTAAGGGCAATGGTTAACAATAATATTAAACCTTTGGTCAGAAGGATTTCTTCTCCAGAGCCCTCACAGAGAAACTTCCCTCCTGGTTAACTGGACCCGGGTATGAGTCTTCATCGGAGCAGTGGGAGGAAGAAGAGTTTTACCAATCACCAGTGCTGAAGAAGTCTCTCCTTCTGGGCAAGATGAGGAAGGGAATCGCTAAATGATGAGTAAGTGCTGGGACTCCACACAATAACGTGTCATAAATTGGCATACATTTTTGGGTCTTTCAATTTTCTTCTTTTTTTTTAAGATGGAGTCTCACTCTGTCACCTAGTCTGAAGTGCAGTGGGATGATCTCTGCTCACTGCAAGCTCCCAGGTTCAAGTGATTGTCCTGCCTCAGCCTCCTTAGTAACTGGGACTAAAGGTGCTTGCCACCAGGCCCAGCTAATTTTTGTATTTTTAGTAGAGATAGGGTTTCACCATGTTGGCTAGGCTGGTCTCGAACTCCTGACCTCAACTGATCTGCCCAACTCGGCCTCCCAAAGTACTAGGATTACAGACATGAGCCACTGCACCAGCCCAATTTTCTTCTTAAACAGAGATTGAGAACTACCTAATCTAAAGTAGCCATTACCATTTTTCCCCTATACACGATTTCTTTGACAGCATTATCACAATCTATAATTATTACCTTGTTTATTTACTTCCTTATTGTCTATCTCCCCAACCAGAATGAAAGTTCTGTGTCTATCCAGTGCCAAGTTCAGTATCTGTAACTATTTGTTGGATGAATGTGTGAATGAGTGAGAAAATAAATCAATATACATTTTCATCAAGACAATAAAGTGGGCAGTGTTAAACTCTTAGGGTGACACAGATGATTGCTTTAAAGAAAAAATAATGAAGAGTGAAAGAATAGAAGACTTGGTTTATGGTGTGGTGGCATTTGACTAACTGTTCTTCTTGAGGTAGTAATTTTTGAGGCATCTGGTTTACACACACCTCAAGGGTAGAGTCCAAACTTGGCCTCTTCTGGTAGTGGCTGAACACCCAGTATTCAGGGCATCGTTAAGTGTGACACAGGGAGAGTCAGTAAGTCTCAAATACACTCAGAGACCTGGCTAAGAGGCTGAAGCAGCCAATCTGGGCCTTCCCAATGGCTTCAATCATAGTCCCCACTTAATCGTTGTTGGACTGTCCTTTAACCCACTAAGTCTTCGGAGTTCTTTTGGTCAGTGACACCTGGAGTGGGCAAAATCCACTTTGGAAAAAAACCAACAGCTGCAGAGAAGATATTGAACGGCATGATTCTGTGAAAGGACAACTAAGCTCAGTGTAAGGGCCGCACTGGCTTGCATCTCTTTTTGTATTCTCTGGACAATGCAGCTTACAAATCACATTCTGTTCCCAGACTGTTGAAAATCAAGTGAGAGCCGGTGAGCTCATCTCAGTTTTTCCTCTTAATCTCTAACTGCTGCAAGTGAAATTCGGCTTGCTCTAATCATTAGAAATTATTGTAAAACCAAATTATTGCTTGTCTAATTCTGCAGTGTTTTCATCTGATATTTAATATACTCCTGAGGATAAGGAGCTTGGTTGATAAGCATTGCAGTTTACCCGAAACTCTGCAGAAGACTTCAGACTGGAAAAGCCAGCCAGAGTCCAGGAGGGGAGGAGGAGGATGCAGAGGAGCCCTGGCCAAGCTGAACGGAGATGAACTGACCCTTCAGGAGGCTGTGTTCTCTAAAACCAGCACGGCCTTTTGGTACTTTACCTCTTAGAGATAATTAGATGCTTAAAAGTGAAACCATCACTCTGCCTTCGGCGGATTTGAGGGCTGGCTCATTTTGCTTTTTAACCTTGCTACACCAGCAAGCTGCTCTGGCCTTCCATCTGAAGTCAAGACAGTCAGGAGGGAAAACACATATACAGAAGCCTTGATATCCAGGAAGAAAGTGCTTCCACCAGCCCCATCTATCACATGACATTTTCTGGGATGATCAGCCTAGTTAAACTGCTTCCTTGACCGTGACTTACCTTGATTCTTCTAAAATCCACATTTGTAACCAGCTTGCATAAATCAGTCAAAAATCTTGGTAGGCTATCTGGTTAACCTGCTCTAGAGGATGATTAGTTTAGAGGGGAGTGATAATTTAAACATCCTTTGCAAAGAGAAGATGAACATAAAGGAGCTTAAAAGAGAGTCAAAAGGCTTGTAGTAAGAGATGAAAGGAAATACTTCTTGAAAGTCAGGGTTCCCAAATATCTACACTGGGAAGGGCTTATAAGAAAAGAACTGATATTTCCTTTAAAAATAAGGTAGACATGGCTCCGTCTCTATGTGTTCAACAGCTTTTCAATGCTTGGGGGCTTATTCCTCTTTGAGAACCTGTTGGAAGAAATGAAGTTCTGAGAAAAGAGATGTCCACTTCTCCATACAGTGAGTTAAGAAGCTGTGCCCTGATTTAAGATTGTGAATAGTTCATAGTTAGGGAAGACCAATGTGGTCAGGAAAATGAAGGTGGACAGGAATGAGCTGAGGAAAATATTCAATTGACAAACTCAGTATTGTGTGCACAATGTATATGTGTATGTACGCCCTTATCTGTTGGACTCACTCTTGGCACATAGCAGCCATTCAATAAAGACTTGCTGGAGGAATGAATGAAAGCTCGGTTGTTGGGTGACTCCTAGAAAGAGGCACCCTTTACACCAGGTTTAGAAAGAACTGATCTATGCCAGAGAGAGGAGTGTGATGCTGTGGCAAGAAAATTTGCTATTGCTGCTGAACTTTGCTCTCTGCGGAGTTTCAGGGTACATTTCTGCTCCAAGATGGAATTTCAGCCTCTACCTCCACAATCCATTTAGGGGAAGCTTAAACTGGTCCCTGCTTATGTTGTGAGTCTCTAATGGGAATACTTCTGTGGGGAATGCTGTTTTCCTCCCACAGCTTTGATAACTCAGAAAATTAAAAGGAACCCCTGCCCAGCTCTCATGTTAGTTTTAAGAGAAGCTGGCTTGCTCTATGGAAACCCTTTTGTAGCAGAAATCAGGACACCTGTTTGTAAATAGTAACATGTGAGAAAATACTCAAGCTTTCCATAGGCAGAGGGAAGAGTAAACCTTAGGGTATATCCTACAAGCTGTTCAAACACGTACCCCATGATAGTTAATAGCCTTCTTAATCCTATAGTCTTCTCTATCATTGCCTTTTCCCAGTGCGCCAAGATGTGGTGTTTTACTTCGAATCAGCTAATGCATGATGCTAATTAGTGCATTAATTGTGTTGACTCTGTTTATAATAATTAGTGTATTGGTAGGCTGTTAGCACATCCAAATGGCATTTTTATTCCTGCCTAAATGTTTACTGTCAGACAGTAGCTAGTTGCTAGAGTTTGACGATAGGGAATGTGATACAGAGAATCAGACATTCTGTGAGAAGCAGCGTATCCCCACGCAGATCGTGTGGAAAGAGGATGGAAAAGAGATTCCAAACAATGAGTGTGTGACTTAACTTGTGACTGAGTACAGTTCAACTCCTATTGAGCAAGGGATGCTTTTATTATTGTTCATTTCACCTCTCAGTGATGACAATGTTTTTGGCATCATAGGAAGTCATAGGACAATGTGCTTTTACACATCTGCCATCATTTTCATGAAATCCTAACTAATTTCTCGACTGCTGCTGAGGCATCAGCACTTGCACTCAATGTGGAATTTGTCCAACTTGGCTGTAATTGTATTATTCAGTTACATTTTAATAAATGGGTGTAAATGAGGTCAATCTGCTAATTTCAGTAAATTGTCATGAGGTGGAATGATAGGGGATGATTGCTCTCTTGGAT